TAAAGCCCTTGGGGGCTGGGAGGATGGGGCAGACCGGAGTCCTGAGGATGAGCCCCAGGCCCATGAAGCTGAGCCCGCCTGTCTGCAGCTGTTCCCCTTGATCCACCCTCAGCGGCTAGACTTTGGGCACGGGACTCAGGTCTCTGGAAACGCAACGTCTTCCTCTGTAAGGTGGACCTAAAATTTTTAAATGAGGGTTACTGCATGTGAAGCACTTAGATTAATGCGTGACCCAGATTAAGTGCCTGGCAATATTAGCTGCGAACGGTACTACTGTCATTATCAGCAATCATGCCCGTGAAATGCAGACAAACGGTGAAGCTTGGCTCACAGGCCCTGCTTAACTAGGGAACAGTCATATTAACCATATCTGAAAATTCCAAACATGGCATTGGGAGCCTACAGGCTTAAATACATATCAGTTACCTCTTAGAATTATGCATGTATACAATTTCACCTAACATGTCTCAGTAGAAAGTAGGGTGGCAGAAGCTGTTATATAAATGTGTCTTGCACATTGCATACATTGTATAAACATATATTGTAGTTGCATGTACATTGCATAAGGCATGCTGTACATTGTATAGACATTGTGTAAACATAATCACAACTGCATATACATTGTACACATATGGAAATATATGGCATACATTGCATATACATTGTACATATGGATATTGTGGAAATATGTAACATACATTGTATTTATATTGTATAAATGCATAGATGTATTGTTAAGCATCTAAAAAACCTCTAGTGCCTCATTAAGGAGGGATTTTCTGAAAGTTTTTTTAATGTGTAAGGGCAATTAGTGACCTCTCGCTCTTGATCTGGCTGTCAGCACCTCTTTCACAGACCCAGGACGTGAAGAAAGCCAGAAGGTTTGGGGATGGCTGGATCTGCAGGACAGTGTTTTTCCTTCCCTAAAAGAGCAGCTTGCCTTCCTGCGTGGACCACAGGATGGTGTGTGTGGCCACAAAACCCAGAAGGGGAGGTGCTGAGAGAAAGTAGCTACTGGGATCATTCCTGCTTCAAAGCAGGTGACTGAAGAGAGATGTAGGTTTTGTGATTTTATCATTTTTTATGATGATGCCTCCAGAGAGCGCATATTTATATCCTGACACAGTCTTGTTCTAACTTCCGAGTACCCAGTTAACCTAGAGGATCCTGGAGTGAGCTGCAGATGAGGAAGGTTTGCACTGGGCCAGGCAGGTGCACCCTAGCAGCTGATACTGATGAAGCCTGGCCTGCAAACCCTCTGCCAGCAATGTAAACCCTCCCTATTTAGATCTGGTATGAGTTCTAAGGAATCTGATAAATGCCTACTTTGTCTCTGGCTAGCTCTGAAGGATTAGATGAGTCTGATTCTGAGAAACACGCCTGGGTGCAGGAAATAGTGAAAATTAGATACGGAGAAGCCACACCTGTGATTTTAATCTTTATGAGAATATCCTGCTTCTGAACTTCCTCTTTCAAAATCCAGATGGCACCCGAGTCTGTAGTACGCCATCTTTATCACCGGAGAGTGACTTCACGTGTTTATGAGGAAGCTGATATTGGGAATCCCAAGGAGCAGCACAACGATCACCCTTAAAGGAACACTACTCGGGCCTCTGAGGGACTTTTGGGAGGCTCTGCTTCCTGAGAGCTGTCCCGGCAGGCCCCGTCATTCCAGGCTGCGGCTGTGAGTGTCACCATGACAGGCTCCGGCCACACTGGTTCTCAGCAGCGTGGGGCTTTGACCACCCGATGAGCTGGAAGTGGAGACTGCTGACCTCCCTCCAGAACCCATTGGGTCTTTGCAGTAGGCTCCTCAGTGGTGTCTAAGCACACTACTCAAATGACCTGTAATCCAAATGATTCACATGCACTATCATCATAGTGGAAACTCTTTTTGTTGACTGTTACTTAAAGGAAAGAATTCCCTCCAGGATGGTTCGAAGCTTCGCTAGAAGGAGTTGGCCTCTGGTGGAGAGCACTGAGCAGACGCGCCGCGCCTTTGCTGGCTTCTCTGGAAACACCATGTGGATCCAGAGGTGGGTTTATTGTCCTGCACGTGGAAGCCAGCCCTGCGCGGGGTGAGCTGGGACTGTAGGCAGAGAACCCATGCATGGGGCCGGCCCCCAAGTGTAGAAACTGCCTCATTCCTGCAGACGGTGCTGCTTCCAGGCTACCTGGATGGACTCCAGCAGGGCAGTCTCTCCCCCGAGAGGTAGGCCTGTGCTTTTCCGAGTGTGGGACACAGCCCAGGAAAATGCACAGCTTGCCCTCGAGACACAGGTGCTAATAGGGCCATCAGACGAGGGCCAGGGGCTCAGGGCCTTTAGGAACTTCAGCTCCAGAGCCACCATGTGGTGGGACCAAGGGTCTTCGTGAACAGGAAGCAAGTTGTGTAGACGGGGGTCCATGAAGTAGAGATGGGGGCTGGGAGGGAGTTGGGGCAGAGCAAGGAGGAAAAGCCACATTCACAGCAATTTCTGAAATCTTTTCATTTCATTTCCCTGAATCACATCCAGAATAGGATTTGAATTTAATAAACTGCTGAAGGTGCCTGGCCCTGAGTCCCACTGTCCTCCCAGCCCCCGCTCAGCCGTGGGTGCATGTGAGGAGGGGTGTGAGGGAGGGGAATGGTTTCCTGGGACGCAGCGTGCAGAGCAGTGATGAATGGCCCGAAACCCTCGCGCTGCTCTGTGCCCTTCATCATCCAGTCGGGGTGGTTAGGGACTGTCAGAGAAAAATAATTTAGCGGCCATGGCTCTAACTGATGTGCTGCATTCTGGGTCAAATGACTATTACAAAGTAGTAGCACTGCCTGGTTTCTCCATCGTGAGCGCTCAGGGCTGACAACATGAAAGAAAAAGGCATTGCAGCCAGAATTCACTGACATCCTTCACATTTCACATGAGTAGGACGCAGGAGAGGGCAAGGGAGGGGCGGAGGGATGCTTCCTGCTTAACAGATTCAACAGAAGAGTGCCAGGTCCAGCTGGGCAAGCAAGGTATCCTAGCAACGGGGCCACACCCCAGACCATGGGTGCTGGGGCTTCTCAGAGAAGGGGGCAGGAGACCCGAGCCTGCCAAGGTCATGGGCAGCTTCAGGAGGGCTCTCTCCCAGCCCTCCCCCCACCCCCCACCTGGGGCTGCAGGGATGAAGTGGCTTCCAGGAGGGTCGCTGGCAAGTTTAAGCTACAGAGAGTGGAGAAATGGTGAAAGGAGAGAGAGGGCAATAAAGAAGAAGGAGGTGTAAGGAGCACCAAGGCAGGCCCCAGCGCCCTTGAGGACATTGTGCCAGGGACTTACGTGGAAGCTGTCCTTGCTGTTTGCCAACTTGTTTTTATTTGGGTTGTGTTTTTATTTGAGGGTGAGTTTGGATGGCAGGACTGGTAGAGACTGTGGTCTAAATCCCTCCAGACCACTCCTTAAAATGACCACCGGATGTTCCATAAGTACTTGAGAATGAACGAACGGTTCCCTGAGAGGCAGAAGGCAGAGGTGTGCATTACCCTACGCTGGCCAGGAGTCCACCAAGCATTGGCCGACAGGTGAATAAGTGAGCACTGGAACCCAGCCGCGACTCAAGGTGGGGGCTGGGCCACACCACACGTGGTCTGTGTCACCCTGGAGTCTCCCCGAGTGGCATCTGAGGTTTGATAAGACCCTGCGTTCATGAAGAGATTTATGATCTCCCAAGGCTAAATAACGGGCTCTATCCTAGGTGTTGCCATGTAAGGCTGGTAGCGACCACAGCCGTAACTTACAATTACTGCACACTTACAACGGCCCCCGCATTGGGCTAAGTGCTTTTTAACTATGTGAAATGTTTCTTTCCTTGATTGATGCCAAAATGAATAAAGATAATTTTCTGTATCTGCTACATTAGTGATGCCCACAAATAATTCTGAAAATGATAAGAGAAAAGATAATTTGCATAAATCAGCCATTGCAAGACTTGGCAGGATAAGATTGTTTTAAATGGCATCAGAATAGCTTCTGACAGATATAAGGCAGGAGAGTAGGGTCTGGAGGCCGGTTCACAGTGATTTCTCAGAACTAAATCAAATAGAAAAACTTCAGCGGTGACAGGAAACGTCCTCGCCATTTACACAGGGCCGACCCCCAGTAACCAGTGGAAACCTCTAGAGAGTATTTAAACCCCAGAAACTTCGGTAAGGGACTCTGAGTTCCCGCCCTGTGGAGGGCTTTCATTTTCTGCTTTCGTTGCTTCATTCTTTCCTTGCTTTGTGCGTTTGTCCAATTCTTTGTTCAAGACACCAAGAACCTGGACACCTTCAACAGGTAACGCACAGAACTAAGAACGTTCTGGAAGGAGTGAAGGTAAACGCAGGGAAGAAGGACCCGCAGCTGTGCATGAAGGGACGGGGGTCCTGCCGGGCAGAGCGAGGCTCAGGCCCCCACTCGCGCTCTGGCTTCCTCTGCCTCCCAGCGCGATTCTCTCTTGGAACAGGAAACCAGTCTGGGTCCTGCGGGGCTGGGTGGCCTCCCCCGCTGCACCCAGGCACAGGCCGCCGGCCCCAGCGGGACGCTTCGCTGTTGCTCGGCCTTCTCCAGCCTACCTGGTTGGAAACGCGACCCCAATCTTACCCGGCGCGACCATCCGACCCCACTGCGTAGAGACCCAGTCCCTGACCGGGCCTGGCACGGATCCGCCTTCCCCGCAGAGCGCGCCTAGGTGTGGACAGACGCGCCCCGGCCGCTCCCACCTTGAGCAGCTGCACCAGCCTCGCCTGCACCCGGCCTCGCCGTCTCCTCCCGGGGGGCTGCACCATCACCCTAAAAACCGCCGGTGCCACGAGCTTTTCCGTCCCCTTGCCCAGGCCAGGGCAGGGGGGACATTCTCTCCCCTCCGTCCCGTGCGACCGCTCCTTCCGCGAGAAGCCTGGACACCTGCTCCTCCCAGGGAAAGGCCGGGCTCCCCGCGCCCCCCACGTCCCCCGCGGCCCCCGCGACCCCCGCGGCCCCCACATCCCGAGCGCCCCTCACCTGCGGCAGCGGCATCCTCCTGGCCCTGCTGGGCGCGTGTCCCGGCAGCCGTATGTCGAACAGCGCCTGCAGCGCGGCCTGCGCGGCCTGACCCCGGGCCAGCTTCTTGCTGCGCCCCGAGCCCTCGAACGTCCTGCCGTCCACGCTCACGGCCATCACGAAGCTCCGCGCACGCGGCCGCTCGGCCGGTTCCGCCAGACACACGTAGCGCAGCCCCGCGCGCAGGCGGTTCAGCAACACCACCGGGTTGCGCTCGCCCGGGGCCGCGGGGGTCGCGGGGGCCGCCGGGGCCGGGCCCACCAGGTCTAGCGCGCGGCACAGCAGCCGCCGCCGCCCGTAGGCTGCGGAGAGCAGCGCGGCGTCCCCAGGGCGGCCTCCCACGAGGCCGGGGCGCGGCGCCGGGGGCTCGAACTCGTGGAAGAGCGTGTCGGGGAAGTCGGCCTGGTCGGAGGTGAAGTCCGTGCCGGGGCCGGGGCCGCCGCCCATGGCCAGGTGCGCCTGGCAGGCGTTGGGAAACTGGACGAAGGACCGGAGCGCCAGCTCGGCCGCGCGCATCTTGGCCTTCTTCTTGGTGGGCCCGGTGCCCTCGAACGTGAGCCCGTTGACCTCCACGGCCACTGCGAAGACCGGGGCGTGCACCGGGCCCGTCTGCGACACCGTCCGGTACTGCAGGCCCGGCCTTAGCTCGTGCAGCTGCACCAGCGCGTTCTTGGGCGCCACCGACCACGACAGCTTCTTCCAAACCAGCTGCAGTTTGCACACGCGGCCCCCGTTCCCCTCCTCCAGCGGCCGCTTCCTCTTCGCGCCAGGTGCGCCCGCCCGGGCCCGGTCCCCGGGGGGCAGCGGCCGCGCCGCCAGGTTGCCCACGTTGCGGTTCTCCTTCACCTCGGCGCTGCTGGTACCTGGAGGAAGAACAGAGCGGTCAGACCCGGGGCCGGCAGACACTGGCCTAGGGACTGCGCGGCAGAGCGGGCATCGCCCCCAGCGCCCCCGGGCCAGGCCTGAGAAATGACCGTGGCCGCCAGAGGGAGGAGGGTAGGAGGGAGCGAGCCCCTGGGCGCCGACGGCCCACGCGGAGGAGCGGTGTGATGTCCCTGCGGCGCGGAGCTGTCCTGCTCCCTGTTCTCAGTGCGGCTGTGCTGGCCCCCAACACACAAGTGGCCCTGACTTTTTATGTGTTTTGGGCAAGGTCAAAAGTCAGAGAGGCCTTTCCTGAGGTGGTGTGGTCGAGTGTCCCCCTTCCCACTTGCTACCGGGACCTCCAGGCCCGGTACCCAATCCTCCCCCGCCTCCGCCCCCAGTACTGAGGCGCCCGGGGTCCATGCTTCTCGGCATCCAGCCCCAAAACTCTACTTCCTCATTCACAACCAGAGGCGAGACTGGTGCTGTCTCCTGAAACCTCCCAGGAGGGGACAGTGGGAGCCCGCCCGGGTGAGGCACTGCGGCCTTGGGTGAGTCCCTGGCCTTTCCCCCAGAGGCTGGGCACACCTATTTGGTAAATATGGTTGGTCCTCTGTATTCCTGAGTTCCCCACCTGCGGATTCAACTAACTGAGGAGAGAAAATATTTGGGAAAAAATGGATGAATCACTATGGAACGTATAGACTTTTTCTTGCTATTATTCCCTAAACAATACAGTATAACAAATGGTTTAGTGCTGACATTGCATGTGGCACTATGAGTAATCCAGAGATGATTTAAATACAGGCACACTGGTTGTTTTGCTTCCCAGGTATGGTGTTATTTACACATGGAAGGTTTGTGGTAACCCTGAGTTGAGTAACTCTATCGGCACCACTTACCCACCACCACGTGCTCTATCGGCACCACTTACCCACCACCACGTGCTCTATCGGCACCACTTACCCACCACCACGTGCTCTATCGGCACCACTTACCCACCACCACGTGCTCACCTTATGCCTCAGTGTCACATTTTGGTAATTTTTTTTTTTTTTTTGAGACATAATCTCAATCTTTTGCCCAGGCTGGAGTGCAGTGGTGCAGTCTTGGCTCACTGCAACCTCTGCCTTCCAGGTTCAAGTGATTCTCCTGCCTCAGCCTCCTGAGTAGCTAGAATTACAGGTACATGCCACCATGCCCGGATAATTTTTGTATTTTTGTAGAGATGGGGTTTTGCCAAGTTGGCCAGGTTGGTCTTGAACTCCTGACCTCAGCTGATGTACCTGCCTCAGTTTCCCAAAGTGTCAGGATTACAGGTGTGAGCTACTGAGCCTGGCCACATTTTGGTAATTCTCAAAATATTTTGAACTTTCCCATTATGATACCCATTATGGTGCCCTCTGATGAGTGATCTTTGATGTTACTACTGTCTTGGGGTGTCATGAACCGCACCTATTTAAGATGGCAAACTTAGTAAGTGTTGTGTGTGTTCTGACTGCTCCACCGACCGGCCAGTCCCCCATCTCTCTCCCTCTGCTCAGGCCTCCCTGAGAAGCCCCGGTAGTAAAACTAGGCCACTTAATACCGCTGCAATGGCCCTGAAGTGTCAAGTGAAAGGAGGAGTCACTTTTCTCTCATTTTAAATCAGACGTAGGGAGGAAGGCATGATGGTAGCCCGGATGGGCTGGAAGCTGGTCCCTGGCAGGTACCCAGGCCACTTGCTTAGTTTCTGCCCTGGGAGTCTTGCCACCTTCATCAGACAGGCAAACACTTTTAAAAGGCCTGTAATGTCCCAGTGTTTTCAGGGTATGTACCGCAGGTTGGTGGTCATGAGCACAAGCACAGCTCCTTTGGAAAGCATTTTGGGAGCATCGGGTATGAATAAACAAACATACACGTTACTCAGCAATTCTGCCCTTGGAGATGTATCCCAGAGAAACCTTCATACACTGAGGCAGAGCTGAACAAGATGTTCTCTGCAGCATGCTTTCACAAAACTGAAAAGTTTAAAAGTGCGCAAGTTCCTATGGTTAGAGGAATGGGGACTCATCAGTGAAATAACCACACTACAGAATACTACACAGCAGCTGCATCTAATGGACTATATCTACATGCTTCAGTGTAGATGAATCTCAAGAAGTAGCATGCTAGATAATAAAATTGACTTGCAAAATAACCCATAGGGTGGGATATTATTAGTATAAGTTATAAGAACATCAACATTCTATATTCTTCACGCAATCATCCATCTGTGACAAGGGTGCTGATGAAGATCCAGTCCGGCCTCCCCAGGGAGTGCAGGAGGGAAGTGCAGTGAGGGGCTGGGGGCGGCTTCACCTGCGTCTGCACTGCTTATTTCTTTGGCAGAAAATGCTGTGAAGTCAATTGAGCAAAATCATCATCTGCTAGCTGGGGTGATGGATGCATTTGATGATGATTTAATTTTTCTGGACTGACCATCATGGACCACTGTTTTCTGGAAAAGCTGTTCCATTAGGGAACCTCAGCCATGGATGGCCCCATGACCTGCCAGGTCCATACTGCCCTCATGGTGAATGTGCTTCTGGAAGGTTTCATGCAGGTTTACTACAAAATACTCTGCGAATTATGGTAGTGAGCTGTGCCCTTGCTCCTCCCTGAGGTCTGGCTCATGCATAACCTGGACTTTGCTGCTTCTCATTGCCCTGGGGAGGGTATTAGTGTCCAATTTGCTCGGTAAGGAGGTTCCTTTACTGAGGTTGCAGAGTTTGTTAGTTGGTCGAGGTGCAGCTCGGTCCCAGGCATCTCAGATTGGCCTCGTCTGTGTTCTTGCTGTAAAGCTGATTCTATGGAAATGGATTAGTTCTATCACTGTCTTGGCCTCTATATGATAACACCCTTTTCTGGGCTCTCTGGAAGAGGAAGATAAAGCTGAGCCCACAGGCTGCCCCTGACCGGAGGGTGACCTGTCCCTGGCGAGAACATAGAGGCTTCCCCTTGATCATCAGCCTTGTCTGTGGGGAGAGGCTCTTGGGTGTGGATGAGTTTTTTCTCATTAAGTGGAAACTTGAGGCAATTTTTACAGCTTGGAAATAGAGGTTGACTGTGGCTGGATGTTGACATGCGGACCTGCTTTCCACGTGGCCCGAGAACCAAGCAGGAACGAGACCTGGCTGGCCCAGCCCCATGCTCCCCGCCTCACAGCTTATGACGCTGTTGTTGGAGAATAACAAAAAGATACAATTTCAAAGGCACAAAAGATGCCTTTCAAAATCAGGTATCTTCATGAGGTATCCTGACATGGGAGAATGTTCTTTTCAGGTTGCACGCTGCCTGCCTGTTCGGCTCGGAGTGAAAACATCTGTCTCTTGGCCTCAACTATCACCGCACGGGGGTGCCGCTGCAAGAAGGCTGCGGGCTCTGCTTTGAAAGTGCTCTGTTTGCTAAAATCTCTATTTCTCATTTGAATTTTCTGAATTGTGAGGTGGTTCTGTTGTTTTCTCTGGTAATTGCGGCTAAAAAAGTTATTAGGTCTGGGGAGATAGTTTTGTTCAAAATGTGAATCTGAGAGCTCGATAAGTTACAGGTGCGTGACATTCTCTTACAGTCAATTGCAGTAGAAACAGTTGCTTTCCAAAGAGAAAGTGCTGAGTGCAAATGCTTTTGTTAATCATTATGCACTTTGGGTATACATGCAGCACTGAGCTCTGCTGTGTAGTGTGTTTCAGGCCGAGGGGTAGCAAATGCGATTAAACATGTGATTTTCCAAACTGAATTTAAAGATGGAGCAAAAAACCAACATGATCGACCCCCTCACCCCATACCAGATTGCGTAGAAATTTGCTTGGTACTCTGTAATTTCTTATTGATTTCTCTCAAGGTGGGGATGGACAAGCCTGTCAGTGTGATTACAGTGGCTGCTGGATCTCAGAGCAGAACGCACAGAGCAACACTTCGCCTCTACCTGACTCAATGTCCTATGACTGTCAGAATTAAAGCTTTCCCTGGCATAAACCATGAATGTCAGACGGTGGTGTGAGGGCCTCTTTCATAATAATCAATAATTGATAATAAGGGCAAACTTCAGGGCCCTGCTGCCCTGGACACACCAGCTGGGCCCTCTGGGGGTGATATCACCCAGTTAGGGTTTGGACTCCTCTCCACAGGCCCCGATTCCCATTTCCCAGCAGTGGCCTCTGCATGGAGCTGTGGGGTCTGGGGGCACAGTGGCTGCTCCGGGCTCTGCTCCATCGTCCAGGGTGTGTGACCTTGGGCATGTCACTCAGTCTGGCCAACTGATTTTTTAAGATAGAAAATGAAGATTTTAAAAATATTTGCCTTGTAAAGTTCTTAAAGGGACAAACGGAGGCAGTACATCTAATGGGCAAAGCGAGAGTCAGCCGTGGGTGAACATAGGATGCATTTTTAAAACCCAGCAGGGAAATGGCGAGACAGACACTTCTCACCCCCCTCCACCCGTGCCTCACCCGCTTGCTTCTCTCTGTCTGGGCACAGCTTCTCTCCCTGCTCATCTTTTTCCCTGTGCTTCTCCGTGCACTTTGCAGGAATTCCAGGGCACCTGGAAGAAGGGTTTCCAGGGCCTCATGTCTGTGAGTCTCAAGCTGTGGCTGGGGGTCGTGTCTCCCCCCTTGAGTGTGTTTTGCTCCCTCAGAAGGGCTGAGAGCAGCACGAGCCCCTCCACACACAGCAATGCCTCCCTCTCTCTGGTTGGCAAGGCAAGTGTTCGTTCTCACAAAACCCTCCAGAACCTACCAAGTCAGGGAACGGTGCAGGTGCCTGAGGCAGACGAAGGGAAAAACAGGCTTCACCTTCTTGATGCCTCGGGCCCAGTGGGAGAAATCTTGACACCATGACCCTGTGACAGTTGTGGGTACGGTCTCGCCCTGTGACCTGTGATCCTGTGATAATCGTGGCACCTGGGCTGGGTGAGGGTGGGAGCTGAGCTCTCCCTGCGATGACCCTGTGGCCCTGTGACAGTCATGGGGCTGGGCTGGGTGAG